GCGGGACCGTGGTTGTTTCGTCGCCGCCTGCGGCGGTGCTGGGTGCAGAGCGGGAGGAAGGCCTCGTGCCATCGTTTCTTGGCCTTGAGGGTGGCGATACAGGTCGCAATGTCGTCGACGGTGGAGTCGACGATGGCGTCCTTAGAGAGGATGGCGACCCCTCCCGAGGCGCCAGTGTTGCCCTCGACCGTGTGGTCTGTGCCGCCGTGAGCAGCTTTGCGCTGGGCTCGCGCCAGATCCAGGTCAGGTCCCAGACTGGCCTGATATCCTCCGTGGTGTGGATTGGCGGCGTTGGTAGCGATGGCTTGCCTGGTAGGCTTGGCATGTCGGGTCTCCTGCAGTGCTATGACAGCGGCGTTGTGGTCGACACCTATAGCGGTGATGGTTGGCCAGTTCGCTGGGAGACTCGTGATGTTGAGGCTGACGAGGTGGATGGAGCGACCTGGCCCATCTCCGTCGGTGGAGCTGGAGTTAGCACGCCCCGCACGGTGGAGGGCGGCCTGGCCGTCACCCAGGTAGGAGGCTTGGCCACAGGAGGAGCTCATGGCGTCGCAGCAGATTGGCTTGGACGGGGCTGAAGGCCGTCGGGACAAAAGTGGAGGCAAGGCATGGTCCCCCCCCCCCCCCGACGCTGCGCCGAGGGGGGGGTCATTTAAAACATCCGGGGCTGGCAAAACTGCCTCGGCGAACACCTGCCTCACCTCCTTGTACCGTCGGGGGAGGAGGGAGAGAAAGTTGAGATTGGTTCCAGGATTCCTCTTGCATCTGCCGAGGTCTGAAACGCAAATCGTTCAGGGTACAGGCGTGGGGACTGTCGCAGTCTGCTCTGGCGTTTATGAACGGTTTTCCAGTAGGGCGTCGCGGCCGACGACGCGAACGGCTGCAAGACAGCACGCGCAGCAGGAAGAAGAAGGGGTGGAACGTGACTGCAGGTATGGCCAGGGTGAACGGGCTCTGCCGCTTGTACTCTCGTCCAGAGGCCAAGGGCACCGCTTGAGCGCGCGTCCGAATGCCAACAGTGTTCCTTACTCTCGGGACAGGCGTAGGTGCTGATGCTGACGATGCCGGTGAAGGAGCCATAGGCCGTGATGGCGTCGGTGCGATCGCCGTAACTGTCGATGCTGCCTGCCCCCAAGTGTTTTGGTACAACTGGGCCCCCAGGTGTTTTGGTACAACTGGGCCCCCTGTGGTCGCTGTTGCCGTCGCTGTGAGCGTCGATGGAGGATTCATAGCTGGCGTCGATGCTGGCTGCAACTCTGGTGAGGGTACCAGCGTAGGC